GTTCCCTACCAAGGGTGGATACACATAAGATTTAGGTTCAACACCTGCTGAACTTCAACACATAAACAGATTCCAGATTCCAGAGCTCCCCCCACCCCAAACCAATGAATAGATTGTTCCCGGAAAAGGCTTGGGCAGTTGTATTCTTTTTAAAAGCTCCTCAGAGGAATCTGACTCGTTCCTGGTTAAGAACTACTCACACTGTATGTTTTCAAATTAAGAAACTGTTTCTTTCTTTCCTTTCTCTTTCTTTCTTTCTTTTTAATATTTTATTTATTTATTTGACAGGGAGAGACACAGCTCCACAGCTTCCTACCCTACCCAGCCTATGGTACATGGATTCGTGAAGGTGTACCACAGGCTGGGCAGGGTAGGTAGCTGTGGAGTTAGACCACAGGGGTGGTCACCAAGGGGTGACCCTGGACCAATTGTTAATTTCCTTAAGCCACAAATTCTTCAACTGTAAAAGTACCTACCTCAAAGGATTATTAGTATTCAGGATAACAGTATCTTCTTTATATGGTTGAGTAATTTCATACCGTAAAAAGGCTTGGAACACACTAAACACCTAATAAATATTAGCTATTATTAATATTATGCTCACATGATAAGTTGCTCTTCAAACTAAAATGCTTAATAAGATAGTCACCAAAGAGGTAAGTCAGAATCACCCCCTAAATACTAAGTATCTTGACACCTAACTACTTCTTACTCTTCACAATACATGTTTACTCAACATTGCCCTGTGGTTTTTCACTTTTTAAGCTGATAAACTATGTTATTGGTGAAGGGACATTTTGATTTCTTAAAAGTTTAAATTTTTTTGCCGAATTTGGTACTGGCTTTAGGCGACCAGTGCTGAGCTTTTCGAGAGAGGCTTTTGCCTCTCCTGTTAAACCAATGCATTCCAGGGAAAGGGAGGCCTCTGGAGGCCATCTGCGCATTACAGCAACTTTACCTTAGGAAAACCCAGTTCCCCGAACAGAGGGGAATTTACTAAACTTGGAATGAATTCGAAACCACTTTTTAAACAGCTATCCCATTCTTGCTTTTTCCCAGGTCTTTTCTTCGTCTGTGGTTCTGTTCTTTGATCAGAAAGGGCAGTCGTTTGCTCCCTCTGTTTCTCATTTCTCAGGTATGGATCGCTTCCTAGGGAGCCTAGAGGGGAGGGACCTGAAAATCCAGAACAAAGAGAAGGCCTGCACACGGAAACCCACCTGAGTACTTCTCAGCCACTGAGGACTCAGCTGAAGAAGCCCCGCCTCCCCAGACAAGTTTTCCTGGCTGGGTTAGGTGCCTTTGCACATGTGGGCTCTTTCTCCAACTGTGCATTGTTTGAAGCAAGGATTATCGTCATTCCAAAAAAAAAAAAGCATGAACGCATACTAAGTGCCTGGTGCTCCGGCTCACTCTTGTATGCCCAGTGCCTGCACACTGTGGGTGCTCACCTTTCCTTCTCTGCCCCATTTGGCAGCTTTCAAGTCCCTTCTTAATTAAATGCTTTTTCACTTGACCAATAGGACTGTTCTCTTGATTCTGCGCCCGCCTCACGGGCTGCTCCTACCTAGACTTTGGCTGGTTCCTCTTCATTCCGCTGACTTTTAGAACGTGGGAATGTCTCAGAGCTTGGTCCTCTGTCCGGGTCTTTACCTACATTCACGTCCTAGGTGGTCTCTTCCAGTCTGAGCTTTAGGTAACACTCATATCCTGACGGCTCCTACATTTGTGCCTCCAGCCTGTACCTCCCCACCCATCTTCCGTATAGGTCCACCACCAATGTCGCCACAGGGGGTCTCAGAAGCACCTCACACTTGGTAAGAGCAAAACCAGACTCCCAACTTCTCCTCCCGTATCTGCTCCTCCAGCCAGCTTCAGCTTATTTGGAGTCCTTAAATGCAGTTTTTCTCTCATACCCTGTATCCAGTCCATCAGCAAATCCCCTCAGCTGTACCTCTAAACTAGTTCCAGAATACATCTTTTCCTCTGCACTGCCAAGCATCCGAGCCACCAAAGCCCATTGCCTGATTTACTGCAGTGACCTCCCAACTGCCTCCTTGCCTCTCCTTCTCCTGCTCCCCTCAGTCCACACAGAACAGCCAGTGCTCTTGGTAAAGGCCAGTCTGATAGGCCTCGCCTCTCCTCCAACCCCCCCAAATGGCCCCTTACCTTAGGAATCACAGCCTTTAAAATGGCCTGCAAGGCCCTCCATGATCTGCCCCCTGCCCCACGCTTCTGTGACCTCGCCTGCTTCAAGCCGCACTGACATCTTTGCTGGGTCTCGGCTCAAATGTCACCAACCTCATCACAAGAAGCTTCTCTGACCACCCAAATAAAAGAACCACCCTGTCCCCAGCCCCAACCCTTACAATACTGGAATCCTTGTCTCTCCATTGAGTACAAGAATGTCATTCTGCTTGCTGTTCTATTCCCAGCACCTAGTATGGTTGTGGGCACTCCAGGTGTATTTGCTGAATAAATGGATGAATGAATGTTCTATGAATAGTTAATAAAGGCACATGTCAGGATGCTACTTTTCAAAACATCAGAGTAAAATTTCTCAATCCATAATCTGACTCCATCTCCCAGGGTGCATTCAAGAAAGATAAATTGCACTCACAAAAGGTCAAATGTTCCGGGGAGGGACAGTCATATTAAAGTTGGCCCAACTGGGTCTGAGCAGAGTAATTTTTAGCTTCAAGATTCATGTTTTGAGATTTTGATGAAATGTAAATACTTAAAACTTATTTCCATGGATCTGGAATGCTTAGCTTCCACCCAAGTTTGGATTTCTTCAACAGGTTACTCAGCCATTGGAACTTTGTCCTGACACCCCTGCTCATGACAACTTTTGTTTGAAAGGAAGGTGCATCTTTCTTAATTTTCTGATGACTGTTCTGTTAGCATACAGAATTAATAACCAGACTACAGGACTTAAAAGCTAAAAAGGACTTAAAAGACTGAGGAACCATCTTTATTCAAGTACTGCACTAAACCCAAATTGCTCCACTCTCACCAGTACAAAAGGTGAAGCAAGACACTAGTTGTGGAGATGAGGGGGTGGGTGGTAGGTGCCTTTACAGTAGAAACTCTAATGGCCTACTCAATGGTTCTTAAAGTGTGGTCTGGGATCTACACTTTCAGGGGATCTGTGAGGTCAAAATGACTTTTGTGGTATTAACATATTAACTGCCTTTTTCATGCTCATTCCCCCACAAGTGTACAGAATTTTCTAGAGGTCACACGACACACAGTGTTCACAAGACGTTGAATGCAGAAGCAGATATGAGATCTAGTTGTCTATTAAGGCAAACATTAAAGAAATTTGCAAAACTGTAAAACAATGCCACTCTTCACTAAAATATTTTGTTAATTTTTCAATTAAAAATGTTAACATGTAATAAAATCATTCTAAAATCAAGTAATACACATTTTTAAAATTTGTCTTAATTTCTAATATGGCAAATATTTATAACCCACAAAAACAAAAGCTTTGGCATCCTTAATTTGTAAATGAGTTGTGAGACCAAAAGGTTTCACAACTGTTGCCTTAGGTATATGCGATAGCATTCCTTCTGTAGCATTATTAAGAAATCTCTCCGCTGGGGCGCCTGGGTGGCTCAGTCGTTAAGCGTCTGCCTTCAGCTCAGGTCATGATCCCAGGGTCCTGGGATTGAGCCCCGCATCGGGCTCCCTGCTCCGCGGGAAGCCTGCTTCTTCTCCCTCTCCCACTCTCCCTGCTTGTGTTCCTGCTCTCGCTGTCTCTGTCAAATAAATATTTACAAAAAAAAAAAAAAAATCTCTCCATTTTCAGTGTTGTGATGGCAAGGTATTGTGCCCCCTTGCTCAAACCACAACCCACAGATGTCACTAAATCCACACTACACTAGTAACTAGCAGAGATCTCCCACTACTTATGTTCAGGGCTTTTCCGGGGAATACCCTTCCCACCTCTCCCAAGTACAAATCACGTTATGTGGGAAGCCCAGACCCCACTGTCATGAACCAACTCCAGTAAGTGGGATGTTTTAGTAAAGAATTAAAGCTCATTTTGTAATCTAAATAAAAGTTAAACTTTGTTAACATGATGTTAAAATGGCGAGACAAGTTTTCACTGAATTTGATAGGAACACTTAGGATGATGGTCTGAATTAAAATACGTTATGTGGTATGTGTAAAATTCACTTTGGAGCCACCTGAAAAAGATAGGGATTCGTCCTCCAGCTGAAACAGAGGAGAGATTTTTTTTTTTCTCCACCAAACTGTGGAGGGAATTTTTGGATGGCCAACCAGAAATACAAGACACAGCATGTATAAAATTCTGTGTTGAGTTGGCTGGGGTAGGAGGGCAGTGCAAAGAGATAATATCCATCCAGAACATTTGAAACTGAGGTATGAGATCTACATCACAATGGACTGAAACATGCCACATGTGTTAAAATGCCATAGATGGAGACGATGCACTCTAGTTTCAAATATTATACCCCCTCTTTCCAACTGAAGCAGCCCGCTGCACGCTGCTTCTTACCCAAGAAACTTCACATACCAAGTGCCAGCAGGGGTTTGTTTGGTGATGGTTAACGATTCTTTTCAAACAATATAGGGCAGGCCAGCTAGTTTATTCACACTGAATCTAAACCTTAGATCTCTGGCTTAACAATAACATAAGGAACCCTGAAAGACACAATAAACTTGTGTTAAATCAGAGATGGTTCAAATCAGTCATAGAACTTCTAAGATTCTGGGCTGGCAACTACAGCACGACAAATGTTCAGTCCAGTTACAAAACGTTTCATTTTCCTGGGCCAACAAATCTTAAACAGATCTGAAAAATGCACTACTTTACAAAGCCTTTTACCATATACCCATCGCTCCCAGTCAAGTAATTACGGTTTCTTCATCTCCCAGAAACTTTTCTAAAGAAGAGGGATTTTCCTTTGATCTGCTCGCTTTGGTGCGTATGTAAGAATGCAGAGAGTAAGTTTAAAGAACGAAGATGAACGGAGATGCCAAGAAAAGTTTTTATTGCAAGCACAGTGAGCTGAAGGAGATGTCTTCTCACATAACGTGGCCGCAAGGTCTGCCATTAACTAAATCTCTCTGACAACCCTTCATTGGTTTAAAGCATATTACTTAGCTTCTTGCTATCAGGTGTACATCATTTCTGCCATGTGGGACATTTTCTTGGGAATATACAAGTAATATTCCATGTAGCCTGACAGGTCCTCAATGGTCACATCATCCACATAGACTCGAGCTTGCTCAGAACAGGAGCGGGGGGAGCCAGACAGAGTTCTGGTGTGGAGCGACTGAGAATAGTCCTCAAGCATGGATCTTCGTTCTGGGGCCAAGGGAGGGACACTCTGCAGGCCTGAAAAGGAATACACTTCCATATCATGCCATCTCTTACACTGGCACTCCTTGCCTATGCATGCACATGGCTTGCCCTGGTTTAGCTTGGAAACGGATCGAAAGTCAGAGAGATCATTGGCCTTGAGACTTGCTTGGGAGACTTGGGTAGCATCAGAGGAGTCTTCCTTCTTACTCTCTGATGGGAGCCTGGGAACCGAAGTTCTCAAAGGCTCAACGACTGCCCCTGTGGGATTAGTATCGAGAGAAGTAGAGCATTCTCCTGCAGTGAACTCTTTAGGGGTGGAAATTCCCAGCCCACTGCTGCTATCAGGGGAGTCAGTCTGGCTTTTGTGCTTGAGCTGGCTGCTGGAAGAAGAAGCTATTGTACTGCAATGTATAAACTTTGGAGGATGAAGGACAGGAGACTTAGAACGTCGACGACGCTGGGTTCTTACTGCTCCTCGTGAAGACTTCCTTGTAGACCTAAGAGGAAAACAGCGCACAAAAAGATGTTGGGACACACAGCTCTCCTAAACAGATTCTTTGTGATAGCTGGAAATTTACTTCCTCTCTTCTTGAGTCTGAGGCCCTAAGTTTCCCCCAAAGAGATGTGCCTACCTCTGTTTTCAAGCTGCCTAAGTCTGCATCTCAAAAACGTCAACATCTCCTTATTAGTAAGCTACAGAAACAGGAGAGGTAAAGGGTAGGTTCTAATTGCATTTCTCGGACCAAACAATGGGTGCAGAATACGTCCACCCCAAACCACTTGATGCTGTAAAGCCCAACTGTTGTGCTCTGTGCTCTGAACATAGCAGCTTCCATACCACTGTTTGTGGCTGGTGACGCAAATGGCCCCATGTCATGATGTCATGATTGCCACTCAGAGCAGGAGGCTTAGGATTCATTTCTATCACTAGTAACAGCTGACAAATAAATTCAGACTCCCTCAAGTTTTTATGGATATTGGGAATTACCAGACACTCTACATAACTTTTAATAAAACATTTAAATAAATAAAAGAGCTGAGCAAAGGAAAAAAAGAGAAAGAGAGAGACTCAAAACTGCCAAGCAAAACAAAACAGAAATAAAAAGAACTTTAAAAACAACAACAACAACAACTATATTTGACATTAAATCAAATGGCTGGGCCAAGCAGCAGAATAGAGCTAAGGAAAGAAATACTGAACTGGAAGATAAATCTGAATTATCTGTAACACAGTTCAGCCAATTGTAGTCTGTGGGTCAAAACTGGCTGTTTTCATACAGCCCATAGGGACTGCTCCTGTGGGCTAGCACCATGAGCCTCCCTGCGCCTGCCTTCCTGGCCAGCAGATGCGTCACACCACTGCAGTGGTCCCACACTGGTCCCATCTACAGGCTGGGGCTCTGCTGTCAGCAACCGCCAGCACCTGAGGGGTGGAATCTCAGTTCAAGAGTCTGGCTTGTGCGGGGCTCTCTGGAGGAAAGAAGGGCATGCTGGCATCTGGGTGCCATTGGGGCACAGGGTAAAACTGACTCCGGTACTGCCACCCCCCCCCCCAACCTGGCTAATCATTTCATCCTGAAACCAAGCAACTGAACACAAAATGTGTCCACCGGCCAGGATGGTGTGCATCAGGCAAATGGGGCAGGGCAGGAATTTTCTTGCTTATATACGTACCTACATAATATCCTTGAAACTCACCTCTTGGCCTCCAAAGCCTAAAATATTTACCATCTGGCCCTTTACAAAAAAAGTTTGCCTCTCCCTGACCTAAAAGGTAGTACAGAGACTTGGAGGAAACTTGGAGAAATGTAAAAGTTAAAAAAATATGTAAAATAGAATAAGAAATCTGGAGTTTCCCAAGGAAAGAATACAGAGCATGGAGGACAAGTGATTTTTGAAGAGATAAGGGCTGATAAATCTTCTGAATTGATGAAAGAGATCTACAGATAGAGGCAGCACCCTGAAACATGACAAATAAAGAGCAATTCACATGTAGACCCACTGTAGCAAAACTGCAGATTCTCCAAAACTGGAACGTCTTAAAAAAAGCCAGAGACTAGACAGATTATTCCCAAATAGAAGAACAGTAAGATTGAAGGTAGACTTTTCAACATCAATAATGAAGCCAGAAGACAATGAGTATCTTCCAGAGCTATGAGAAAATAACTCAATCTAGAACTAGGACTTCAGGCATATTAAATCAGGTGTATCTTTCAAGAACAAGGATGAAACAAAGACATTTTCAGATAAATGAAAGTATATTTACAATAGAACATGATGTTATACAAGGAGGGGGCATCATTCAAATTCATTCTATGGGGAGTTCTACAAGAGATCCTATTTACTAACAACAGACCTTTGCTAAAGGAATTTCTGAAGAAAGTACTTTAGAAAGAAAGAAAGGTATCCTATATGGAAGGTCTGAGATGCAAGAATGGTGAAAAGAAACTGTAAATGAGATAGACAAACACTGTTTATTTAAATAATAAGCGAGAAAACTAAAATATTGGGCAACTACACATGGAAGTCAGGAGGTCTGAGTAAAAAAATTGTACAGAGGGTTAAAATACCGCTGATGCTTGAACAAGAAGGGTTTGAAGGGCCCACTTACATGCGTGGATTTTCTACAGTACTTGCAAATGTAATTTTTCTTCCTGATTTTCTTAATGTTTTTTCTATCTTATTGTAAGAATACACTATATAATACATAAGACATATAAAATATGTGTAAATTGACTGTTTATGGTATCTGTAAGGCTTCTGGTCAACAGTGGGCTACTAGTAGCAAAGTCTGGGCAAGTCAAAAGTTACATATGGATTTCTGACCTACACAGATGTTAGCACCCCTAACCCTCCTGTAGTTCAAGGGTCACTGGAATAACTTTTGTCTTTGTTAATAAGCACGTACAGTGGAATTTCAAGGCTAACTACTAAAAGAATAGAAACACAGCATATAATTTCCAAGCCAGAAGGAAAAGTGGTGGTGGGGGGAAAAACCCATTTCAAACCATTTTTTAAAATGAGGGAGAAGAAGAGGGAAGGTAGGAAGAGTAGAACAAACAAACAAATAACCAACACAAAGAAGTAGGACAAACAGCATAAAGTAAAATGGCAGAAACAAGTCTAAATATATCAATCAATAATCAAAATAAATGTAAATGCACTGAACTCACTTTAAAAAAATTATCAGAATGAGTAAAACAAAATAAGCCATATATATTTATGAGACACATCTAAAATTTTAAAACACACAATGGTTGAAAATAAAAGATAAAAAAAATACAACAGGCAAATACCAACCACAAAACAACTGGATTAACTATAGCAATTCTGGAAAAAAACAGACTTTAAGACAAGAGCCATTATGAGGAATTAAGAATGTCACTTACATCATTAAAAATCTCAATTCATTAGGAAGAAAACATTCTAAACTGGTATGAACCTAGACTGTATAAACCGAACAAAATGGCTTCAAAATACATAAAATAAAAACATGGAACTTAAAGGGAAAACAAACAAATTCACTCCCATAGGGAAGATTTCAACATACATCTCTCAATTGATAGATTGAAAAAAAAATTATTGAAAAAAAGACTCAAATAATACATTTAAAAGCTTGATTTAATAGACATAAAGAAACCCAAGAATGATTAGAGAAGACTCAGTCTTCTCAAACACACATAGGACATTTATAAAAACTGACTATGAACCAAGCCACACAGCAAGTCTCTATCAATTGAAAAGAATGGCTCATCTCTAATCATTGTGTTTGGGGTTCTGTATCTAACATAGTCTTTTCTGGATACTCAGCAAAGTCCAATAGTAATTTAAAATATTGGGATAAAAATCATCTGCAGTAAGAAGCTCTTACCCATGCCAACTGTCTTTAGGTGCACATGAGGTTTTCGGTTTGGTATCATCTGCTGATGTTCTGACTGATGCTCTGACATTTGTGCCTTCTCCAACAGACAGAGATGCTATGGACCTGAAGAAAACAACGACGTTTACTGCTTACAGAAAACTGAAAGGAGGAAAACTTACTACTCTCACCAACTCAAACACAATTTGTATTAATACCTTTCTCTGTCGTTTAAGTTTCTCAAAAAATTGCTCACCTTTTAGAGAAAATTTTCCTCCAAAACCAAATTTAGGGGATCCTTAAAAGCCCATGGTTGTAGAATCATAAGCCAAAGAGTAATTCTGAAGTATGACCAGCAGCAGGATATAAATAGACTTTTAGGCTGTTTATCTGGGGCAGATAAGGCCTTACGTCCACAGAGAACCCTAATGACACTGACCACTTATTTTGTGTGGGCAAATCAGAGCCATGAGAACTAAGTTGAGGAGCAAAAAATTCAGGAGACTCATTCTAACTTGAAAATGAGTATTTCTGACAACTAATAAACTTGGAATATTACTGGAAGTTAAATCATTGCAATTTAAAATTACAGAAGTAATACAGGTTTCCCAGGAAAGATGAAAAAATTTGAGAGGAAAAAAAGAACGTCTATAATCTCACAACCCAGAGATTTACAACATTAATATTTTGGTATAAATCCTTCCAGATCTTTTCAATATATACATATACACACACACTGGGCTCCTACTATACATGCTGTGGTATAACAATCCTTTAGAAAGAAACAGTTTCTTTCTAAAGAAGTAAAAGGATGCTCACTGAAATTAATTTAAAATAAAAAGTAACAGGAATAACCTAAATGTCCAGTAGAAAATAGAAAATACTACATTATATAAATGATGACACATCTATTCAATGGAATATTAGGACTTTATTAAAAATTAAGTGTACAAAGAACTTGAATAACACAAGAGAATGCTTATAACATTAAGAGAAAACAACATTAGATAAACAACTATACATATATTATGATCTCAACTATGTCAAAAAACTGTATGGTGTTAAGTATAGATGGTCTGGATTGTTAACAGCAGGTATGGTAAATTGAGATTTTTACTTCCTTTTTGTTTCTGTGAATTTTTCTATAATAAGCATGTATTATCTTATAATCAGATAAAAAGGATTATGTTGTTTTCTAATAAATAAATAGAGATTTATCCTGATAAGACAAATACCATTGGGAATGGAAACCTGTTGAACAGGATCACGCTAAATTCCTGGCAAGGCTTGGTTTGTTTATGAGTCAGTACCTCAGATGTCCCATTTGTAAATCAGCAACAATATGAAACAACTAGAACCATATGATACATTACACAAGTCTTATTCTGCTTAGTCATGGTAATGACTCACCCCCTCTACTCTTACTCGGTTTTCTCAAATGTTCTCCACTGCTCCTTCCCCTTCTACAATTTTACTCCCAGCAGATCACAGACTTGACAAAGATGCAATATCAGACCATAACTTGTATGGTCAGATATTAAATCTTCAAAGGTGTTGTTGTTTTTGATGTTCCAGGTATTTTTAGGGGTATGGAAGTAGCTTAATTTTATGTTCCAACTTATTAAAACACCAGGAAAGAAATCTGTGTATGAAGAGTTACTCATATGAATTTATATACATTAAGGGATTTATCTGTATACGTGTATGTGTATACACATTCCTAGCATTTTCCTGACTAAAAAAATTATTTCTATACCAGAAATCACAAAGGAATGTGACTATAATCTGGAACTATTTCTCTGCTTTGTTTTTATTTCCCAAAATGACTTAAAAATTACTGATCAATTTAAATGGCAATATGACCATATGAGAAAAGCCCCTGGGAGGAGAATATATTTATTTGAAGTATCATGGAAGCAAATGGGAGCACTATTAACAGTTCCTGTGCAAACCCATTAGTATAAATCTTCTCACCTGGTAGACCAAAAAAAAAAAGTACTAGCAATAAACAAACAGCTATAGCAACAACTATTTAATTTTTACTATGTGCCAAGTACTGTGTACAACTCTTCATGTTGTCTTCAAGAGCACAGGTTCTGGAGGCAAACTGGGTTCAAATCCTTACTCTACCACTTCTCACCAATGTGACCCTTAGCAAGTGACTTAATTCATCTGTAGCTCATCTGTAAACCGGAATAACCATAGTACCTATCTTCTAAGTTGGTAGTGAGAATTAAATAATGTGTACAGATACCTAAGCCAGTGTCTAGGGCATAGAAAGTGAGTAATAAATCTCAGTGATTATTACTTGTTGTGAAGTGTTCTACTCTGAGCTCCTAGGGTTTATTTTCCATTCATGGAAAGAAATATTCCTATATCTATCAAAGATTTGAGATTTCTTCTGGCCTGGGGTGAAGAATGGGGATGAAAAGAGTCCTGCACAGAACATTTTGCAAAGGGCGAAATATTAACATGCAGACAGCAGCTGGTCTGCAGGTGCTCTAATTAGTTTGGCTAAAGGGTCCAAGATTATTGATCTCAGTGACAGAACCCTAATGAATAGAGGTTTCCATAGTGATAGACTCAGCAATCAGAGCATATGAAATCGAGAATGTCTGTGGATTTCTATGGAGCCAATTCACTTTTAGGGAAAAACACTGTGATTCCCTAGAGATGCATGAGGAAATTCCTGATGGGACACTGCTTGGTAATTTTGATTCAAGAGCGAGGTGGGGAACCCTCCTCAAAACTAAGGGAAACCAAAACACCCAACTTGGGAGTACAAATGAGTTGCTACTTTTCAAAATTTAACATTAAGAGTTTCTTTTATAAGTAAAATAATGCTGTGCACAATTTGGTAGAATGTCACACTATTAACATTTTAATCTTTTATTAATAATGAGAAATTTTAGAAGAGAATGAGATCTTCTTCAGTGGAAAAGGCTATTTAAATCTAGTAAACAATTCCCAAATAATATATTATATATTTAATTACCCTGATGCATCCACTCTTAATTTCTTGAAAGCAGTTTGTAGACTCTCCTCTTCTCCATCCTTGGCTTCAGATTTCATTGTGAAAGTTTTTACACTACTATGGATGTTGCCGTTAATACTAAAAAATAAAAATAAAATGAGCAAAGTGAAAACAGAGAGGTTCAAAAGTATACCTTTTGTTAAAATCTATATTCCTGATACTATTACTACTTGTTAACGGGAAAAAAGCAAATTTCTATTTCTAAAAGAAATTTTCAGTGCAAACAGTTGGGGACTGTAGGTTTTATTTCTTAAGAAAAGACAAATGAAATGATATAGAAACATGTATTGTAACAGATTTTTTTTATTGAAGTATAATTGACATGTTATATTAGTTTCAGATGTACAACAACGTGATTCAACAATTGTGTATCTTAATTATTATGGATAGAATTTAAACTGTCCAAATACTTGATGCCAATATCCTATTACACAGCTTTGGAAACGAGATCACCTGAAATCTATGTTTAAGTATACCTTTTAACAGGAGGTAAAAATTTGTCCAGTTGTAGAGGTCTAGAAACCTACAGACAAAATGACCTTCGTACCAAAAATAAAAGGAAAAAGCTCTGATCCTTTAAAATGATACTGAGTATTTGTGTAGTCCAACCCTAACAATTCCCGTTAAGTATAACTTCATGACAAGATAGCATTTCTCTAAAGCAACCCTGACCCAGATATCAATATTCACATAAATATTCATACTCAGATATCAGATGTTACCATTGTTAAAGCAGGATTACAAATATGTTTCAATGATTACTCATTATTCCACACTCTTACCAATATGGTTGATACCTCAATTTTTTTTCGCTTTTAATTATTTTAATTATTATACAAGATAGAAAATAAATGAACTATGCATGCAACTTTAAAAGATAAATAGAACAAACCTTGCCAAAAGAAAAAGGTGGAAAGTAAATATATATATAAATTATTTTTCTGTAGATGCACCTTTAAATGATCTCCACTTAACCAGTTCAATGAAACTTCTCCATTCTTCCACCTTGGTTTTTATATTTAAACAAAGAAAAGGGGAACAGGGGCCAATCAAAGCAGTAAGAGACATAACAGAGAAGCAGAGAAGTCTGTCAATAAATCCTTTGAAATCTAGTTTTCTGATTGTTTTCACTAAGGTAATAAATTAGTTAACATCAAATCTGAACAAAAAATAAGTCAGTATCTATGAACATATCACAGGGACTCAGAAAGAAAAAAGATAAAACAAAAAATAGAAGATGGCAGATTTGGGAAGCAAAGGATTAACTTTACCTTTTCCTTATTTCTAACTTGCTAACCCCATCTAACCCCCTTCCCCCCGCCCCTCCAGGCACTCTCAGAAGGAGCAGTGCCTCTCTGTGGACCCTTCTAACTTCTCTGATTCCTTATCTGCTCATTTCTCAGGGGCGAGTTTGAGGTTATTGTGAGACCTCTAATATTCCAAAGGGTGTCATAATATGTTTGATATCATGTAAGCATATAGTACCAGTGGCAGAATAAAGAAGGAATTAACACTATTCGTTTCATTTATTTGTTCACTTACATGTAGAAGATATTTTAGGCAGATCTCTCCGGCAAACACTGAAAACAGTCTCCAAAGAATTTAGCTAGCTTTTACTGCAACTTCTTAAATCAAAAAATCCGAACACACTCCCCACATATATCTTGCTGATTTATTTAACCAGTACATGAACTTGAGGAAACATTATTAATTCCATATTTTGCTGGTTTCTAATGCTTTTGGATTTAGAGGGGGATCCTCCCCCAGATACATATTAATGTCCTATTTATCTGGGGAGAGAGGTGAGCAAAGACCACATATCCTAATATTTTTGAAGCTCCACAGCACCTAAAGAGTGCTACTGTAAATTATAAACAAATTCTTCCTGCTGGCAGAACTAAAGTTTGGCTTATAGTTTTCCTCAATTACTTTAGGACCAGTCAAATGCTCAAACTATTTGCCCTTACAGAGTTAAACAATCTGAAGACAGTCTCCCCATCCCTGAAGACCCTACACAAACCCTTTTCCAGGACTCTCTGGAAATCAGTACATATGCATCTAAATATACACTGCTGAATTCCATAGACAGAAATTCATTCCATCCACAAATATTTACAGAATTCCTACCATGTGCTTTAGCACTAGACTGGATGTTAGGGATAGAAGAATAAACCTGACACATACGAGGACTGTGAACCCTATTCCTGTAAGAACTGGAGTCTCATTCCTGCCCTAACACTGTGCTAAGAAGTTTTGCACCCAGATATGTAATTTTTAATTATATAGTCCTAACTTAATGCACTGCAGGTGACCTCTAGATGTTTATACAAACTTAGTTAACATTCTTGTTGACACACCAAAAGATCTATTATTTGAAAACCAAAATAGACCAAAATAAAAACTGGCTATAGACTAAAACTTTAGGAATGAAGTTCTGTCTAGACTATTTTCAGACTTCCAATATTCTGATTACACACCTTTTCCCTCGGTTATATTAACCCAGGGAAAAGGCGAGTCTTAGACATGACCTTAAGAGCTAAATCAGAGCATGTTTGTAATTAATTACAACAGACTTATTATGCTCCTCTGTATTCCTGGCTTCCCATTCACTCAAATCAAGAGCTGTACAACTAACTCTGGGAAACATATAATTGGTTTGCCCTTTTTCATTGATATTAAATTTGTGGAGACATTTCTTGCCATTTTCACTGCACTGACTTCTTGAAAATGGAACAATTCCCAAAAAGATGAAAGTTTAAAAGCCCATTAGAAGTTACTTTGTATTGTTTTAAGTTAAATCACAAGGGGCAATTTATCTTTGCCTCGGATTTTCCCAACCTTTCAAAAATGACAAGTAAAATTCTACTAAGTTCCTCCATCAAAAGGGCAAATTCCTGGTTTTCTCTGAGTTTCAACGAATAGCATGTGTCACAATCTTATTTATATCTTGTAGTTTTAACCATGACCTCTTTTAATCTCAAGCCTAGATCCAAATTTCCAGGACCCTGAAAAGACCTGAGATCGATCAATAAAGGATCCCCGCGTAAGCGTGTCATCACAATGTTAAAAGATTTAGAAACTTTCCCAGCCTCCTAGGAAGCGAGGAGTGCGGGAAAGAAAGCCCTGCCCTGCAACCCCCTAAAACACAAACAAGTCTAGTCTAGGTTGAAACTATCGGTCCCCAGACCAAAACACATTCACATCTCTCTCTACACACTCTCTCACTCCCTACACTCTCGATGTAGAGCTAAAGCACCGCGTTAATTCTACCCCCCCCCCCAATCTGGATCGGTTGCAATTAAACGAGAAAAGGTCAGAATGGGGGGGGGGGGGCGGGTTTACTCAGGGAGTGGAGAGCTGTTAAGGCCCCAGCTCTGCCCGTCCGGGGTCTCCAGCTGGAAAGGTGCCTCTGCTGGATGCTCCCCCGGCCAGAATGAGAGACTGAAGTTGTGCCCATGCAGGAGAAGGCGGGAGCGGAGCCGAAGAGGCAGCCAACGAGGCTGGGGCTCGGAAACAAGAAGGAAAGGGCGGGAAGGGGCAAAGGGCGGCCAAGGAAGGCGAAAAGGGGAAGCAACAGCCGGGCAGGAGCGGGCGGAGGGGCGGGACGCGGCGGGGACCGCGGGGTCGCGGGGTCGCGGGAAGGGAAAAGAGAGCGGAGCTTGGGCCGACCCAGGCCGCGGCTGCCGAGGGGGCGCGGAGAGGCCCAGGCCCGGCCCAGGCAGTCAGCGCCGGGGGACGACGCGACGAGAGGCGGACGGGCCCAGGAGAAGCCGCCCGAGGCCAGGCCGGGCCGGCAGGTCGAAACGCGATGCCACGGCCTACCCCTGTCACGTCAAGGCACTCACCTCCTCGCAGCTGGGGCGCTCCGGGAATCCAGTCCCGTCAGTTCAGGTCGTCTCTCCCGGATCGCAGCGCCTGACTGACCCGGATCCAAACCCGCGGAGGGGTCAGCCCGCGCCTCCGAAGTCGCACTGCGCCTGCGTCACTCAGCCACGCGCCCCGCCCCCTGCTCCTGCTCCTCCCACCCCAGTGACTCGGCAGCGCGGCAGGCGGTGGCTGCGCAGGCGCGGGGCATCGGCCTTGCCCCTCGAAAGCCCTGTACCGCCCCTCTCGGAAGCACGTGCGTCTACGTCATTTCCTGTTATTCTCCTCGCTTAGTCCTCGGTCCTCCGTGGGTTCGCTCGGGACCGGCGTTTGGGGCGTGTCCGCTTCCTCTCTGTCAGGTGAGTGAGTAGGAGCTGTTCTTCGCAGTCGCCCGGCCGCCTCACTTCCCAAGGTCTCCCTGGGCCTGGTGCTCGCCCTGGAGTCACCATGGCAACGGAAATTCCGGGGACCGAGGCCGGGGTGGGGGAATCTTCGCGGCACCGGAGCCCCGCTGAGCTCTTGGCCCGAGTCTCCTTGGTGCGAAGGAACCGGACGGCCTGCACCATCTCCAGAGCTCGGACGCAAGCCCTCGTTTCCTGGCCTGCAGAGACGCGGGAGAGGTTATCAATCACGGCCAGGGCCATGAATGTGAGGCCGGAATTGGAATGGCTGTAATGCCTCTGTTTGACTTGAGACGGCTGTTTTTACCTGTCCGGGCCACAGTTTCTCCAGCTGTTCAGTGAGGAAGTGGACTGTATCAGCGAATCTCGTTTTTTTTTTCAGGCACGGACTCCTTGGAAAGTCTAGTGAGAACTCGACGGAGAAATGCACATACGCACTAAATTTTGCAAAATGGCTTATGGCAGTTCACCTAACTAGGTGATTTTAAGGGATCTTTCTATTTGTAGGACTCTGACAGTTGCTCAGATGAAAGGCAGAGAAGGGGTGATGTGTGCAGCAGTTGCAAACCCCCCCCCCCCCCCCCCCCCCCCCCCCCCCGCCATCACCGGGAGTGGTTCTGCTGAAGTAGCTGTGCTTCTCCGCACTCACCGTGCCCCGGTTAAACGTTCGTACTTCTCCGAGCTTTGTGGAAAAGATAGCTTTCCTTAATAGAAGGAAGAGTTGGCTAGAGTTGGTTCTGGCCCTACACTAGGGTGAGGGTTGTTACCTAAGCCAAAACTGGACCCTCCCATCCCCCCCCCCATACTCAGGTATAGTCAACCTAACTAGATAGGCTGCTGGAAATAGTTTAGTCTGTCCAACTTAACTACAGCCAGACCTTGGAATGCCTGACCCATGTCTGGGAGTGGAATCTACATGTCATTGTATAAGGATGTTAAACATAAAGCATGTAGTGGGCCCTGGGTAAAACATTTTAAGTTCTCCTTGTTCCTACCAAAGGCTCATTAACTGACAGGGGATGAAAAAAATCTGTTAATTGTGAAGTTCCAACATCAAACCTAATAATGCTAATAATAATGGCAGCAATGTGTGTGTTTTCTCATGTGATATTCTTGTGACTTTATACAGTTTACAGATGAGGATGCCTGGGACTCAGATGTTAGATCCCTTGTTCTAGCTCCCCTTGTCCTGTCACCCAGTGCTAGTTAAGTGACTGAGTCAGGATTTAATCTGTCTCAAAAGCCTGTCCATCTACTGCTGCCCATTTCTCAACATCTCTTAGAAAAGAATAAAAAAGAGGAAAATATGGTGCATTTTTTTCTCAGGAGTTACAAAGTGAGTTATATCAAGACTTAAATATGTGTTATTAAGCTGTCATTTGAAAATACTGCTTCAGATAAAATTCTCACATACTTGAGGGCAAGGACTATATCTAGATCCGTAACGAATCCCCAAAGCCTAACGATTCCTGGAGGCTAGTAGGTACTAAATACAGTTTTGGTGAAGTCTTCATTCTACCTTACTTCCTTCCATTATGGCATTAAGTACTAACAACCAAAAATTTTTTAAGTGCTTCATGTAAGCATATCTCCATCATAAAGTCAGATGCTTTCTGAGACTGGCTCATTACTCAGGGAATAGCTGGAAGGCAAGAACCTCTGGGGAATACCTCTGAAGTCCGTTAACTCACACCACCTGCTGTGGCCTGAAATTTCAAGTCATCACAGACAGGCCTGGCTCACTGGTACCTCATGACAGAATGAGATAGAGAAGCTACTTAAAACGTGATCTGAGGGAACAAAAAGCCAGATAGGCCTCCTATGTTAGCAACACGGGGTCTTCCCAGTCATGGAAAAAGCCCCGAAATTATGTGCAGACTTTCTGTATTTAGGAAATTGGCTGGGTTTTAACTTAATGCGCATAGTAATGTCATTTCATCAGAAAGTTATGGTAGCTGTAAAATCCTTTAGCAGTACTTCCTATTCCATGTATCTTATAACTGATTGAACACAGGAGACTTCATTTCATCAAATTATACTGCAAAAACAATATACATGGGAATATAACTGATTTAAAAAAAATAACTTTGAAGAAGACAAGTTCAAAACCTTTAAAAAAATTTATTTTCCCAACCATGTGGCTGCCATCCTACCAGCTGGTAATCTGGAATAGTCGTCTTAAGGATTTTAAGGCTCAGAAACATTATTCCTTACCTTGATACAATTTTGAAAATGACTTTGGAGTAGACGGTGGTGATTATAACGATCAACAAGGATTGTCTCACTTAATCTTCGTAGCCAACTTGCAAAGCAGTTGCTTTTATTTTGTCCATTTTACAGCTGAGTATACTAAGGATCAGAGCAGTTAGATAACTTACCAAGGCTACACAGCTTGTAAGTGCCAGAATTGGGATTCAGATCTAAGCCATCTGACTCTACACTTATCTTGCTGGCCACTGAGGCCACTTTTCTTAGCCTTTACCCATCTTCCCCTTAACACACCCTAACTAGATCAGGCGTACTTGCTTTCACCGGAAATACACTGGGCTTGAGGAAATGTGCTGCTGAGGAAATGTGCTGCCTAGTGTGTGGGACTCTGTTCCAGCTGCCCTTGACTTGCCTGTTCCTGAACTTACCAGGCACATTTCCCTCTCAGGCCTTTTGTATTTGATGTTCCCTCTGCTTGGAACGTTGTTTACCCACAACTCTCCTCTTCACTGAAGTCTCTGCTCATATCGGTTCCCCATCAGGGCCTTTCCTGGCTACCCCAGAAGCCCCCTTCATCTGTATCCCTTGAACTGGCTTTATTTTTCATTATAGCACTTGCCACTACCTGACAATATATATTCATTACCACTCCCCTCACTAGAAGTGAGCTGAGAACAGACTTTGTCTCTTTTGTTTATCACTACTTTTCTCATTGACTCCTAGATGATATTTCCCACCGTTTAGCACTCTGAAAAAATGGATGTGTCTTATAATTGACAGCTGTATCCTGGTAGCATGTGTTTTTTTTCTTGATTATACCTACAATAAATGGGGAGTCTTTAAAACAGTGGTGTCTTAGAGTTGATGAAAATACAGTCTATCCTCAGGGCCCAAACTCTTGCCTGGCACAGAGTTGGCACTCAGTAATTACTTGTCAAGTGAGAGCACTGAACGTTCACTATGTGCCAGAAACTATTTAAATATTTTTAATCCCCCACCATTATCCTATTATGAAATACTTCTGTTATCAAAGCAGTGTGGTAGTGGGGAGTAAATATGTGGTGTCCTTTTGGAAGTCTGGGAGAGGGAAGAGAGCTTCGTCCTGGTTTCTGCCGTGGGACTGCAGTGTGTCAGGTTTCCTTGCTTGTCCTCAGTTCCTACTCTTCTTTCCACAGACTTTAGTGAATACCTGCTGCTTGCCCAGTGCTGTGTATAAGTGGGGGCACAGGATGCCCTATGGGCACCCAGAAGGGTTGCCTAGCCCTGTCTGGAGGTGCAGGGGGATGTCTCAGACAAGGCTTCCTGAGGAGGTTCTGTCTAAACTTGAAAGTCAGACATTGATCTGGGAAGTGGTAAAGGACAAAGATGAGACTGGAGAGGGCCCAAGCCAATTCAAGGAGAGAGTCGTGTTAAATAGCTTGCGTTTCGTCCATGAGTAAAATAGTGATATACCAGTGGACCACTTCTAGCACTCTGGCAGCCTCTTAGAAAGTAGATGAGGAAGGAGGGGAATGTAAGAGAGGCCTGTTTGAAGACATTTGAATTAATGTAAATAAAGGCCAGAACTGCAACAGTGACTGAAGGGGGTAAAGGCACCTAAGGGGCCACAGCATCTAAGATAGCGGGACTTGGCGGGGCATGCTGGTCAGAGGTGTCTGGCCTGAGTGAATGAGTGGCCAGTAGGTGGCACCATTCACCAGGGAGAGAAATCCAGGAAGCCAGTGAGTTTGGGGAATTGGGGAGTTTAGTTTTGGGCATCAGGAGTTGGAAGTGCAGGTGATAGCAGGAATCCCATCATGAAGGGTCTTCATCTTAGAGACTGTATCAGGGGGTTTATTTTCAGAATTGTGGGGACTGTGGAAGAGAAGAGAAATGACCATTTTACTTTAGAACAATTACTGTGGTTAGAGCCTGGATGGCACAGTGATCTGGGCCTGAGTTGGCAGTGATCTAAAGAGCAGGTGGTCATAGGCCTGGAGAGCAGGGTAGCAGATTGAAAGTTTAATACATCGGGCTTCGGTGAGAGATTAAATGTGAACAGGATGGACAGTGAGCGAAAGTGGATGATGAAAATTTGCTTTCTGGTTTGAGCCACTGATTAGGTATTGTTACCTATTTCTAATGTCACCCTACTGAATCCTATAGGCAGTGAACAGATGGAGAACAACATTTAAATTGGGGATAATAATAAAAGCTCATACTCTTACAGCTCTTACTGTGTCCCCGCAAATTCAGTCTCATCCTCTCAACAGTCTCATGAGAGTACCATTATCAGCTTCATTTTCCAGATGAGGTAACTGACAGAGAAGTACAGTAACCTGTCTGAGGTCACACAGCTAGGAAGTGGTGTGGCTGGAATTTGAACCAAGGCAGTCTGGCTGAAGGCTGCTCTCACTGCCTGCCTGGAGTGAGATGCCTCTAAATGAGGAGCTGAGTTTAGACACACTGAACTTGGGAGATCTGTGGGGCAGCCCCGTGGACCTATCCAAGGCACAGGAAGATACA